CTAAATTAGTCTCCGAATATATATATCTTCATATTTCCAATCGTCAGATATTGGATTAATAATTAATTATTGGAAAGCTTTTAAGTCATTTATGAAATTGCTTCGATCGATTTTCTTGCAGATTTAATCAAGTATTCAATAACAATTCTGAATGTGGTCAATTAATGTTATCAAGTCATTTTCCAATACATTGAATTATTTAGATACCAATAAGGGATACTGACCACTTCGTTCAATTATGATATTTCATTAAAGCTGACCCATAATATTTCACATTAATATTTACACCAGTATTGACTACATTAAACACATAAACAGTAAATACAAATAGAGTACATTAGAACCTAAATGGCTCTCAAGGACATATCAGGATTATTATGCCTTATACACATATGTCCTTATTAATCAAAGATACGAAACACAACAGATATTAAAAAGTTAATATATATATTAAAAAGTTAATATATAGTTTATTTATATGTACGGTATGGTCCAATTGTGTTACATTATTCCCAATAATATTTCTGTTGTCACGAAAAAATAAATCCCTGAAGGGTTAATTATTCATATGCACTATACTTGCTACCTCTATCACGTATTACATATATCAGTAGCAGTCACGTTCTAGGAGTTAATTGATTTATAATACAATAATAATTGAATAAAAGAAAATTACTTTACAATCCTACCACATTAAATTGAAAGCGATCTTTCAATAATTATGTTTTATGACATTAATACCTTTGAAATCTAAAAGTGCTGGAAGCTTGCTTGATACATGGTCCGAAACCCTGGGGTTTCCAATGATGTGCTTGGTATTGCTAAATATTTGATTTACAATTCAAGCGCCAAGTGTTGAATATCCGTGAAAATTTCTCGCACGCGAATACAAATTATTTTACAGTATTACAGTAGATAAGTTATTGTTGTAAACCCTTGAGGCTATACTTAGTAGCTGCATTCAAATCCGTATGTGCATTACAAAATAATCAGAAAAAATACATGTAACTGATAATCCCACGAATTATATTTCGTTTCCACGAATTTTATTTCAAATTTAAAAAAAATCTCATACCATGTCCTATACCAGCTACCGTAATTATCTGAGTGGACAGGGGCATTTTAGGGACTCAAACATAAATGTAGCAGAAAAAACAAAGTGACATGGTTCTTTTCTCCTATGATTTAAAATTGTTGTATTAAAGATTTTAGATGAAAGAAAGGTGTCAAACATACAGTCGAAATGATAGTGTGTTTACAAAGGGCAACTGATTTTAAGCAGGGGTTTAAAAAGCATTTTTACCTGTATGCAACCTAAATTCTAGAAAGTTATATGAACTTCCTGCTAAGTTCCTGGACAAGTAATAGTTAGCTAGTTACTTAGCAATAATATTCAACACACATGGGGTATTACCATTGCCCCCAGCAATACAAGTCCATTAAACCCAAGGTTTAATTTAGTTAAAAAACAAGAAAGTCCCCAAATTCCGTCAAAAATCATTTAAGCGGAAAAATGCAAACTTTATTTATAATTCGGCAAGAAAATCTGCATACCAAAATTACTCTCCATATTTGCAAATATCCGGCAAATATTTACATTTTCATATACCGGTATGCAAATTAAATAGGGGGACAATTTATCTGTCCGAATTTACTCACACAGAGAGCAACAGTCCTTCAGCTTTTGTAACCATAGATCAGCATTGTAATAATTTCGTCAAGACTTTACAAAATAAAAAAAATTAAACTTTAAATTGAATCTCATTGTCTGATTTCATTTCCTGTAGGATACTTTAATGCTATATACAGTATTTAATTATAAATACGAAAATAGTAACTGATATATAGTGACATCCTTCCTTTATTAGTTCATTATTAATCTAGAAAAAAAACTACCACAGGTTGATCAAAAAGATTTAAGAGATGATTTCTTTTTCACTCAAAGTACACATGTATGTATTGTTCAGCCTCATGTTACATGGGTCATTCTCAAAAAATGTTCAGATTTCAGTGATACAAGTTTTCTGGTAAATATTTTAATAAAATAAAAGAAATTGTGCTCATGAACTTAACAATCATCTAAAATTAAGAGAACAGATTTAAAGTACGATTAAAAATTGATATGAATACTAAAAAAATCTTTCAACATGAGTTAAATTAAAGAAAACTGCTTGTGATTTCGCAGAAGGTGTATTTTCAACCCTCCATATTGAGACAGTAAATATAATTTTGGAGAAAATAGCTTTAATGTATTGTAAATACTTATCATTTTTTAAAAACATGCTAAAAGGTGACTGAAAAAAGTAAGAATATAATTTTTTAAACAATAAACGTTAAAAAAAACTTTGTGATTTTCGCCATGTCCTTTGAGTAACCAAGACATAAAAGTTATCTGTAACAGTTATTTTCCTTGAAGGAACTCTTCAGCATCAGCCGCCTTCTAAAGATATTGTACCCGTCAAAATATAAAAAGACACAAAACATGTGTGTTTCACCCCGTAGACACAATATTTGGTTTCAGTTGAGTTTGGTTGAGAGAGTAATTTATTTTTAGGTCCTTGGAGTTACTTAAATAATGTGAAGATAAATTAATATATAATGTTTGCGATGCATTGAGCGACTTTCAAGTGGAATACACATGATGTAGGAGCTGTGCTCTATCTTTTTAATGCAACTATTGCTTTTATACTTGTAACTTTTGATGTAGTAATTCCCTGGCGTTACTATCCATTTTGTTACTGTAGGAAAAGTTACTCGAACGACATATTTAATTACTCTATGGACAATCTGTACAAAAACTTCAATATTTAAAATTTAAAAATAAAACATAATGAATAAAGTTTATCGAAAATAGTATATATCTATAATATTTGTATCATCTGATCATTTTTTACATATAATATTTTATACATGCTGCAAATTCATTCAATAAATGATATATGTACATGTAACACAAAGGAGAAATTTGGTAACTCTATGGACGTCGAAATGATGAAACATTAACATTATTAATTGCGCCTTGCTTAATAATCGGATTCATGCGCCAAATTCGAATTAATGCGTGTTGTAGGATAATAAAAAGGAAATGAGAAGAAGTTTTCCAGCAGAAGACGGGTTGACAGGTTGACAAGTTGACAAGTTGACAGGTTGACGGATTGACTGGTTGACAGGTCGATGGGTTGACAAGTCGACTGGTAGAGTGGTTGTCGGGTAGACATTGAAGATAACCTTGCTAAATGGGTACAGTCCACTAATTGTTTTCCCATAGGCGACAATGTTAACGTTTCTTCTCATAGCGATGTCCCTAATTTTCGTTCAGAAGTGAGTGACCCCTCAAATCAAAGCACATCAACTTGTCTTTCCTTGGTTAAAATCTCGAGGTGGCATGTCAGATTCGTTTTCCGGCAAAATGCGTGTGTCTGCGGGAACCTCTAAAATGAAAGTGAAAGTAGGGGAATTTCAGAATTCTCACTGGCGTTATAATACACAAAATAAATCGGCTGATCTTCTTGATAAATTACATTTTCCTAGCTTTTTTGGTACGAAAGATACTCCTTATCAACAAGTGTGAGGCTCAGTTCAGTACATCTGTCCAATTTTTTTATGCAAGTCTGAAAATTAAGGAACTTGTAATTTTTTCTGCACTACTTTCTTCTCCTACCGATTCTAATAATAATTAGTGGGATGTACCCATATCAATCTTTCTATTGTTAACATTTACATTTATCTATAGACTGTTATAATTATGTAGTTGATGTTTCGATTGTTAATTTCATGTATACCGAGAATAATTGTTCCAGTGCTATGATAAGGTTTTCATATTATGTTTGTCTGTTAAACATTTTTTACCTTGAAACTTTGATACGTAATTGATTTTAATAAACTTGGAAAGGAAATACAATCTTAAGTCTTTGATTGTGTAAAATTTTAACTAATTTTTATTGTTTGTTCTATAAAATTTTGAGAGGTAGAAAACAAGTATTTTTCACACGCCTTCATTCCGCAAAAAATATAATCCCTGCTAGTTTTCGACTGCAGTTCACCACTTCTATTTAAGGTATGTCACTCGTGAAATTTAATAAATCAGGGATTTTTTGAGAAGTATATTTTGGATAAGTACTCATACAGAGTAACTCAAAATCGCAGAGAAAATTGGGGGTCAGTGTTCATCTTACTGATCTACGGTACAATAAATTTGACCTTTTTTGCACTTAGATTTTAACCCTTTGGTTAATTACTTTAACATTTATCATATTTAATCAGATGTAACCAAGGCAATAAATATGGTTTTATCTAACGTAGAATATTTTGAATAATTAAACAATTCTTGCAAATTAATGCGCGTTAATTATTGTGTGACCTTTTTGAACTAAAAAGTAACATATTTGTGGTATTAAAAAACTAAATAGGCAATAAAACATTTTCTTAAATCAAGCTTTTTATGAATTAAGTGTTAAAATAAGAAAAGAAAAAGTTGGGGTCAGTGATGTTAATTTTGAAATATTGGTCAAAATATGTAATTTTCAGGCGAAAAATGGTGTAAATTTTATCTTGAGTTATTTCACATTCCTTCAATATTTTGGCAAAGTTTGTTGAAGGAAATATAAAACTTGTTCTAATAATATAAATTAAGACCTATATTTAATATTCCTAGCAATATCATGTTGGAAAATATTCTTCGAGTAAAAGTATGTGAGGCTAAAGTTCCAAGATTTTACATTTAATAAATGTGCATATTTGCAGAATTATTATTATACTTCCAAAGTATACATTGATTACTTGAAATACTTTTTGATTGCTTTTTTAAATTAGTTATTATAAGTTTTTGTTTGTTTGTCTTTGTTCTGTTTTGTTTCGTTCTGTTTTAAATTTTATTCTTTTTTAATTACATTAGATTACTTTCAGTACTTTGATTAATTAGCATGCACAGTTGTCGAGATAAGGTTAGAGTGCTTTTCCGTCCGTAATATTCGCTATATAAGACGGTTTCCGGCGCTCGGCCCCTTCCGTTGATAGTAACCCTGTTGGTTTATGATACAACTGTCCTACTCATCCGCTTTACAGTAGATTCTTTTGTTGATTATGGCGAAACTTAAGAGTTTTGATCAGATAAATGAAGTTCTCCTTTTTATGTTTTACTTAATCACTGCCATGAGATGAGATGGATGCCTATACAGGGGTTTTCCTCTGGATTATTTTCTGTTTCGCTTCTGTTGACGTCAGGAAGGTGTCAGAGAAACCTTGTACCATAGTACCGGTAAGTCGACAGCACATGCGTCGGGGGGGGGGGGGGGGGGAAGGGGCACCCCCTAGTTTTTTGCAAATATATACATATTATAGGCATTGAAAATTGGGGTTAAACTTTTTCGTTGGTTTAGCCCACCCCCCTCCCCACTTTCTATTTGCCACCGACGCGTATGGACAGAAATTAAACAGACTCTGAGGTAGATCGAGTGTGGTGGGGTGGGGGTTTAGGTGGTTGAGTGAAATATTTAATGTCTAATCATACAATATTGAATCGGGTATTACTTTCTAAAAGAAAAATCACTTTTGTAAGCAATAATAGGTGTGACGTACAGAAAGGGAGTGGCTGGGAAAGAACCTTATCTAGCTGAAAAAAAAATCCTGAGATTGTCATCAAAGATTTTTTTTTTGATTTTTATTTATGATTTAATTTTTTTTATTTGATTATTTGTTTGTTTGTTTAGTTTTTTTCTGTTGTTGATGATAAATTCTCCCAATCGAGAACAGTCATGGAGAACTTTGTGGCTTTTGTTAAGCTTATCCGAAATGATTAAAAAAATATACCTATGTGTGAATGATTACAAATCACTAGAGAAAACACTAATTATTAAACAAATCATCACAGGGCCCCATGGAGATGATTTTGCTGAATTAGATTCAATATGCTTGTTATAGTAGCAAATAAATGCATAGTCATGCGTCTTTGTTCCAATTTAAAGAATATGACTAAAGGAGAGGGCAAATTCATTTCGATATTTTATTTACCCCCCCCCCTACACACACACAAAATTAAAATAGTTAAATTGATAAAAACTGACTTTAAATAATATACTTTTTTTACAATCACATTTTGATAGCTAGGAAAGACACAAAGAAGTAAAGAAGTAAGATTCCCACAGAATGGTGTGTTTTGTTGCTTCCTTTTATTTTTATGGAGTGGAAAAAACAGGAAGCACGGGCCCTTGACACCAATTAAAAGGACTTAGTAGATTCTGCGAATTTGGCAATTGACGCATGTGACGTAAACTTCTCTAAATATGAATTATAATGATACATTTTTTTTCTTTTTTAAGGAAATCATTGTTTGGTTTTGAGAACATACGCTGAGTATTGTAACACGCAGAGAAATATCAACAGAGATTGATATCTGAAGATATATTCCACGAAAAAGATTGATTTAATTAGTGTAACAAATAATGATAAAAAACAAAAATTCTAACATCTAAACAAAGAAAGCCATTTGAATTTTTTTTAATGGTAAAAACTGACTGAATTCAAAATGATATAAAATAAAAATTGCGATATAATATTTTTGTTAAAGGAGGCTCTAAACACTAACAAAAAGTGCTTCTTGGACTTGGTTAAAAAATATATCATGTAAAGATGTGCATATTGACACTATATTCATTTTCAACATAGGGTAATTGCCTTGATTCTGCAGGAAAATGTTTAAAGACAATGGACTATTCATAAACAGAAACACTGTTAACTACTTACATTGGAAAAAATAATGGAAATAATGAATTCAATTTCTTATTCTTGGTCTAGATTTTATGCAAAGTATATTTTGGTCTATTACAAATTGTGTAATTAACCAATCTCCACCCTCTTCTTCTCCTTTCAATCAAAAGATTTTTAAAAATTCATAGTAAAACTGAAAGGCCAACGTCAACATTTAAAAGATTTTGGTACCCAAAGGAAGAAACTGCCACAAGATAAATACAATTGAACAGAAGTACATGTACAAGTTCCCAAGTACAAACCGTTCAAAATATAAAGTTAAGGACAAGTTTTGGTTAAAAATCGCAAATGTGGATCAAACACCAAGGTGAAGATGTCCAAAACATTGTATCTTGATCCCAAGGAAAGGAGTTTGACCTTCTGTAGGTAAAGGAGTATATATGATAAGATCCAATTTTGGCCCCCTAAAAATCAACATTGTAGAATGACATTCAGATATGTTTAATTAATATTTATTTTGTAGAAGAGATTATATTAGAAATATTTCCAATATACATTTATATGTACTCACTAGCTGTAAATAACGAGAAATAATGCTATTTTTGCTATCTAACAAAAAAGCCAAAAATATGCCATTTTCTTGATGTTTTTTCTTATGAGCAACATAGAGCGCAGTGTAGAACATACATAATTTTTCTGTCACTAATTAGTATTGGATAGATACATCTTTGTAAAAATATAAAGCTTATTCTAAGCTGCGCTCTATATTTTCTGGAAGAAAAACTGCTTGAAAATAAGCAGTTTTATACAAAATATGCTAAAATGGCGGGAAAACATGGTTTTTATGATGTAATATTTCTAAAATAACGGCATTTTGATCGAAATGAAAATGACCGATAAAGGTCGCATATATAGCTGTACAAATTAAAGCTATATATAAAGTAAAATCAAGATATTCATTTTAAGGGGCCAATTGAGACAATTACCATATATCGCTCTTTGGTATGTTCCACAGATGTGTACTACAGTATAGCGGGTTTTCTTGGTGTTTTTCCCTGCGCAAATGCATACCAATAATTTTGGCAACATTTATTTCAGCGGACACAATGTTTCAGCTCTTTGCAATTGAACACAAAGAAGATAGAACACTTAACTATTTTAGCGATTAAAATTTTAGCGGACTATCAGGTTTATTATGATTTTTTTCCTAACTTTTCACACAAAAACAGATAAATCGATAAAAATTTAGAATAAATAAAATTTCTTACTAATCATTATCTACCTATTTATACAAAGACACAGAATAGTAACATTTCCTCGTAGTGTTTTGTTGCTTCATTTTATTTTAATGGAGTGCATAGCAGCGACGGGAAACACACACTTGACACCAATAAAAAGTTAATTGCCACACATTACGTATATTTCACTAAGTGTGATTTATAAAGATATGCTTCGGAGTTTTTGGTTTTTTTCTCGGGGAATTTTTTTTTCGGGATTTAAGAATATACATTGAATATTGTAAAGTATTGTTTTATCAGAAGAAATTGATATCTGAAGAGATATTCTAAGAAAAAAATATTAATTTGATGATTATAACAAATATCGATAAAAAAAAATTATAGTAACAATTAAACGAAGAAAACCATTTGAAAGTTTGCAAAAAAAAAAAAAAAAAAAACTTAAAGACAAACCAAATTCAAAATAAAAAAATGTATTGAAAAATATGAAATATTTTAGAATTTATTTTTCTTTTTTTTCAATTATAAGTAAACAGTTTTCGTTTGCTTAAATAGTTATATAATTTGCGTCACATACATGTAAATGAAGTAGTAATATTATTTTGATATCCTATTTAATGTCTTATTGATCCCCAACCCCCATTCCGTCCCATTCAAATCAAAAGATTAATCCATTTTTTTTTAAATAGTAAAACTTAAAGGCTAAGGTCAAACTTTTCACAATTATGGTACCGAGAGAAGGAAAATACATTTTAATTATGATTTCCCAAGTACCTACTATTCAAAAGTTAATGCTAAGGTTTGGTAAAATTTTGCAAAAGTGGGTCAAATAAAAAAAAAAATCAAAATGTGAGATATGTTTGTCCCAAAAATAGGAGACTGACCTTCGTTAGGAAAACTTGTCGCTGAGTTTTTATATTTCACATATGTATAACTTTTGGCAAGACCTTCCTTTGGGTACCTAAATCTTTATACCTTAACCTTGGAATTTGACTTGAATTTTAGAAAAGTCATGTTTGCAAAATAAATAGGGTATAAGTGTATCAATATAAATGCATGTGTACATATAAATGTATATTTATTAACATTTAGCGTTAACATTTTACTAACATCCCTGCTTTTTATTTTTTATTCTAATTTATATTTATTATATATACATGTATATTCTTTTCATTCATTTCCAAAACTATTTTTTCGTGTGTTGTAGTCTGGGGAGAAATGCCGAGCGATTCTGTATAAAGGTAAGATCTCTCTCTCTCTCTCTCTCTCTCTCTCTTTCTCTCTCTCTCTCTCTCTCAGAGAGCTGTGAAAATGAGACAATCGCTGATCTATTGTTTTAAGTCTTTTTTAAATATAATTTTCTAAATTTATGAAAGAATGCTGCAAAACCAAAACACCTGTAATGAACATGGATTTTGTTTTAAATTGAAAAAAAAGTTTACTGGTTTACATGTAAAATATGTAATATTGTCACTCTCCTTCGAGTTATCCTCTCAGGATTAATATTTATCATAAGTAAGACGTGGGGACAAACATTTTAAACATGTCAAATAGCATTAAGAAGACAAATATGGAGATAACGAACAGTATTCAAGATCAGAGGTCCGATAAACAATACAAAATAGGATCAAAGGAAACACGAACCTCCGAAACATCAGAGGTGGGACCATGTGCAATGGAGGAGTGAGCATCCCTTGCTGACCGGTAACACCCGCAGTGTGGGCCTTGTCATTATCGTGAAATAACCGAAAAATCCGTCGTCAATTCTGTGTATTAATTTATTCATCCATGCATTCATTTATCTTACTTATTTTGTCCATTTCAGAGATTAGAATAAAACATACAACAAATAGGGTACAAGAAAATCGAGAAATATATGTACATAAATGATATGAGAAAAAATGAATCACACGAAAGGCTGATAATATTTACATATCTTTTGAATATGAAAGGGTTTTAAACAAATTGATGGGAGCTGTGAGATTAAGCTACCCAACGAGTCTGTTATAGATGGCACAAGATGTCACTACAAGTATATGTCTGGAATTAAGTTTCCTAAACTCGATTTTCTCCCTTTGATTAAGGACTGTCAGTGTATGTTTTCCTAGGAATACTAGGGAAAGGTCGTCCTCTGGAAGGCCGCTGACTCAATGATAAATTGTATTTTCTAATTAGATCATTGTATCGGCCATGAACTTGTTTGTCAATAATTTACTTCGTTTTAGAAATTGAACATACGTAGAGCATGCTCTTGCATGTAGAATCCACTAATAGATATAAACTCCATATACAAGTGATGATGGTATATTGCTGCATGAAGTAAAAGTCATCACGTTTTCTTATAGAGCTTGGTACTTTGATTACCATTAACGTCTTGTCAAGTACAATATCTAAATATGAAAAAGATGTGTCAGACTCAGTGATATCTTTTGCTTTCAACTTACTGGGATGTATCGTATCGACGGAAGAATGGAATTAACTATTGGTAATTTTCAATACATCGTCGATATATCTAAATGTTGAGTTGAAGGCCACAGCAAGTGTTTCTTCTTTTACGTATATTTTACACTTTCATGTATTTTGTACAAAGAAATAACAAACAATGCATTGTTTATATATCTTTCTTATACATGTATATACTTTTTACTCGATTTTATTTTTTCTCGAGGAATGGGTAAGGGTAAAATGATTGGTAGATACTACTTCTTTTTAGTATTTTTTAACGATATTTAAAAAAGCAATGATTTTAAGTAGATTGTACGGAGCAGTTCCTTCAGAGGGAGTATCCGGGTCTTTATTACCATGGAAACACTACAATGGCGGCTCCTGGCCTCTCAATTTCAACTGTGCACAAACTTTACGGGGCACCACCGGAATTCAAGTGGTACTCAGAAGTTAACATCAACATTCAACCGAATACAAGTAATATTTTCATACCATTTGTATTAAAGAAAAAAAGAAATCTTCATATCGAAGCTGGAGAAATATCATATAACTATTAAAAAAAAAAAACTTTAAAAGTAATGGAAGTGAATTATTTGTCAACTTTTATTTCTTAATTAGTATATTTATCTCCTGCTTCAGAGACGTAGGTCATTGCAAGAGTTGATTTCCAGGATGGGGATGTCAAATAAAAAAAAATGCATGAATTAACTCCATTATATTAATACAATATGTCGTAAAATAATTTTTCTGTAATCAAACTTAAGTCGAGGAACTTTTAATACCTTGTTTTGCCGGTATTATGTGACAGAAATGACTCTCTTCCGCGGAAAATTTGTAAAGAAGCAATAACTATTTACAGCAGTGCGAGTTACCTCTCTTAACAGAGGTTTGTGATCCTTAATTAATCCTCCGAGTTCACACAGTAACAAAATCCAGTATCTTACAGCTTCTACGGAAAGAATCCAGGGATTTGAGGCGTGGATCGAATCTATTGATGGAAAGCGCTGCATTGTGTTGACTCTCTCTAATAATGGAACGTTATCGACTAACAATTCAATGGTGAGTTTATATGTTACTCTCTCTAATAATAAAACTTTATGGACTAAAAGTTCGATGATGAGTTTATAACATGTATGTTATTTTCTCATGGCTGGTTATCTACTAACAATACAATGGTTAGTTAATAGGTCACTCTCTCTCTCTTATAATAAAACATTATCGCCTAACAATACAATGGTTAGTTTATAGGCCGTGTACTCTCGATAATAATAAAAAGTTATCGACTAACTATACAAGTGTTGTTTTATAGGCCACTCTCTCTAATAATATAACGTTATCATCTAATAATTCATCGATGAGTTTACCGGTCATTCTCACTGAAAGCAAACATTCTGAGAGTATTGCATAAACAATATATGCCCCCTACAGGGTTCCATCTTTTTGTTAATGTTTCAAACTCGCTTGAAACATGAATTTAGTGTATCATGAACCCGATCGTAAATCATTTAAATAGAAATAAAGATACCATAATTCCGTCAAAAATCAATCATACAGAACGAAATTCAAATTTGATCTGTAATTCATGAAGATAAATCTACATACCAAAAATCAGATCAATTCAGTGTTCAGAAGAAAAGTGCAAAAACCAAGTGGGACAGACTGACATATGCAGGGACAGAAGTACAGACGGCTAGACAGACGAACGGACAGACACAAAGGAAATCTCATTCTAAAGCAATTAATAAATAACCAACTTTTCTCAATTTTACAAAGAGATTGACAAATAATTAAGGGGATTAATGTAAATGCATAATGGCACGAATTTAAAAAAACATACAATTTTCAGTTAAAGGTTGAAAGCTTATTTATAGGAATTGCCTAAACTAATTTTAATTTAGTGTCGTATTTACTTTATCAGAGAGAATTTGAAGTCTGGCTAAAACTTAGGATGTCCGCCAACATCACTGTGTGGCAGCTTCCAAGATCAACATCTTCTTCTCCAACCAGAGGCTTGATCCGCGCTGGAATAAACCAAAGTAAAGTACTATAATTCCCATGTCACCGGCTACTTCTAGCTAAAAGCTTGCTCCATGCCATAATGATAAAAAACTATTATTGGATATGGGAAAATAAAACTATTTAAGTCTTTAAAACAAATTGATAAATAAGGATGAGACGATAGAACCTTATCCTTGTACATTTAGACCAGTGCAAGAGGGACATCGCCAGTAACGCCTTATTTGGCAACATTTCAAACTGTCTCTAATATTCTTGGCATACCTATTAAATTAGACGGTAATTTTGTAAATAAATTTCCTTTAAGGTATCCCACCTAACAACTCCTACTCGTGGTATACTGAGATCCTATTCCGAAACAATTCACGTGACCGGATTGTCGAGATACAGTTTCAGTCGGCCCCAGAGAGTTATGGAATTAAGTATTACAACATTAAACTCCGGCGAGTGACACCATTGAATAACATGGACGCCAGTTATCGCACCACCACCCACGCCTGGATAGATTACGTCCTATCCCCATGGGTAAGTAAAGTTAAACAAATCAGATCTAAAACAGCAAAAATACACAATTTTTTACGATTTAAAAACGTTTCCCACGGAAAGTAATTTCTGTAGCACTAAAGCCATTTTATTGAAGTATAAATTATATATTACAAAACTTTATATATAATTTGTTACTTATATTGTGTTCTCTGAAGATATTTCTGACATATACTTCCTTAATGCACATCAATAACATTATTCTCAAGTTTTATCATCTCTTTTCCTTAAAGGTGTACGTCAAATTTAAAGATGTGAAGCCAGGAACCTACGAAATAATGGTTGGTATAATTTTGTATAAATCGGTACGACGAAGTGGGTGTAATGATAAATGATGAGCTGGTATAGTGAAATGAATGTTTATTGGTATTTTTAAATGAACGACAGCAAAATGTTTAGTAAATATTGGCACATATTATTACATAGTAATGAGGTGAGAAAAATTAGCAAAAAGAATAAACATTGTATGATAAGGGGATAAGTCCTGTATTTGTTATGCAGTTGAGGAAGCTCTTCGAAATTTTAACATAAGTGATCGAAAAGGTTAAATAAAAGATGTTTCATTTTAGCGAAAGTGGAAATAATGAAATATGAATTGAAGTTTGGTGAAACAGAAAAAAGAAGTTGTCTAAGAAAATCATGCAAACTCCTACACCTACATGGGACCTTGGTATTAAATTCTTAAATAAGTAGGCTTGAGGCGGCACAGCAAACGAGAATTGCTTCAATGGCTTCCGGCCGGTCATTATGCAAACATCCTTAAGAATTCGATTTTTGTGATTGATAGATAGTTATAAAATTTAATTTGCTTCCTGTTGTTTATTATATAAAGCTTTTGTTTTACCGGTAGGTGGAGCCTTATGATGACCTTAAGGTTAGCGGACGTACCTCCTGTCGCTGCAAGAAGTCCTCTGAGTGTTTCCCATGCAGAAGTACACTGAGCCCAAAGTTTACCATTACAGAATGTAAGGATTTTTAGAAGTGTTACCCATGTGTAAGTCCATCCTTAGATAATTGAACCTTACAGAAAGTTTGGATTCAAAGAAGTGTACCCATATAGGAGACCATATAGGCAGTTCAAGTTCATAATTACATAAAGTAAGGATTTAAAGAAGTGTTACCATATAGGAGATACACAGTCCTAAGTTTATCATTACAGAGATTAAGGAATTATAGAAGTGTTAACCATGTAGAGGTCACACAGAAAGTTTGAATTTATATTCTAGATTGTTAATGCTAACAACAGTCGATTTTTCTAAGCGTTTATTAAAGTATAGGGTAGAATAAGTGTGGTATTGAGTAAAGGTGAGCTATTTAAGATTCTACATTTCTTTAAATTTTGAAATACTTTTTTTTGTATCAGGGTTTTAAGAGCACTTGACTTAATCTATAGAAGAATTGTTAACTAAGCGCATTCTTAATGGAATTATTTGGTATCATGTCTAAGAATCATTCTAATACTGGTCGATTATATAAAGCTCAAATTAAATGTTATTCACCAATGCTTTTATTTAGTTCCATCATATACTTCTGAAGCTGGTATGAAAACGTCTGTGACGGTGCCCACATTGACGTCATCTGACCCCAAGAAATTGGATAATAAGCCCAAGCCTACTAACAACACAACACTCATCAGAAAACAACAAGAGATTTTTAATGGCTCCCAATCAACGGGCGGAACAACTCTCATTGAAACTCCACACAAGGTTTTAAGTGATCCACATTCGAACGACGATCCATCGTTCATCAAGACTCCAAACAGGGTCTCCAGTCGGTCCCAGGCAACAGACATAACTACAAAAACTCCAAAGAAAGTCTTCAAGAGGCCAACATCAGATAGTAAAATTCATATCAAAACTCTTAACAGGAACTCCAATATTTTCCAGTCAACCAGTGTCCAAACTGTCGCCAAAACTCCAAAGGACATCTTCACGCAATCATTTGTGTCCTTCAGACCGTCTTCTACTTTGGATTCGAGTTTGTCCGAGGTGTCCGAGAATAACAGCCAGCTGGAGAGGAATTTTGAGGAGGTTATTGAGGAGTCTGGGAGCGGATCACAGCCCAGTGGGAAGACGTTGGCGATCCCCGCCAGTGTCTTGTCTGTCCTAGGGATCACTCTTGGGGCATTAGCGTCTATCTTTGCCGTTGTCAAGTTCAAAAGAAGAGGTAAGTGAAAACCTTTTTCATTATTTTTCTTTTGTCATATGCGTATCTTTGAAAAAATCCTGAAATAAGTCAAAGCTAATCTTTATCACCCTTACATACAATAATTTTGGTTTTACAGGTCCATTTGTTGATTCAAAATCAAGCTCTCCCAATCCTGCACGTAAGTGTATTCATTCGATTGAATTCCTGTCTTACATCATCATATAACGTAAAGATGACTCTTTTCATCCTTTTTTCAGGTATTGAAACATCTGTGTTGATCGTCCATGATGTTAAGCACTCAGATGATGCTAAAGGTCTGATGAGTTTGATAATTAATGATCTTCATATCAGCGTGAATACGTTGTTGTTCCCAAACAAAAGTGGCTTGATAAACAATTCGGACTCCTCCATAATTGTTCTCTGGATGAATCTGCATTCTTTTACAAAGTTTGAATGCAGATTTCTTAAAGACAAAGAAATACCTTCTATAACACAGACCCTTCTTCAGAGTCGATTTGTTGTAATTGAATCGAGGAATACTGCGTATCGTATTCTGCCGCGGATTCAGTACTGGACAAAATTTGTCTTAGACACAGAGCTAGACTTATTTCTCGACTTCCTACGTAATAACGTAAAACAAGAGCCGCGAAAAAGCTGGACAACTAATGATCGGGTTATTACTGAAATACCAGAGACACCTAAAACGTTCCCGATACCGTACAATCGAATGGACTCGGGCATCCATAGTGAATATGAAAATGAGACAGATTTTCCTTTCTTGGAAGACAAATCCCAAGAGGAATGTTCAAGTATTGCAGCTGTTACAATTGGAGAATACCAGATGGGTGTACCTTTTGGATATCCAAATAAGGTCACTGCCTCGTTTCCACAGTTCACTCTTTCAAATTCAGCAACCTCTAAACATTCGATTTTATTGAAAGGATGTGGAAAAAGTCAGGAGATTTCACGACTGAACACAAGAGAGAACTTTATTCCTCCAGAAAATACGTCTTACTATGATGCGGACGGCAGTCTTTTTTCGGAAGCAATTATGATCTTCAACGAACGAAACATGAGACAAACGGGTGTATCTGAAGATCCCCGCTCCCTGATTGAGGAGAATTTGGGTACGCTTTGTAACTCAATAAATCATCGAAGTGGAACACCTGTCTGTTTTCAGAACATGGTCGGACTGGACGACGATGAAGAGGAACCTAAAGACGAGGAGAAAAGTGTGGAAGTAGACAGGGATGAGGAAGAAGATAGAAGCGTTGAAAAAGACAGAAGCGCTGTAGAAGACACTATCAGTGTCGGAGGCCTGAGCTGTTGACTTTCAGAATTCAAATCTTACCTCAAAGTTTGATCCTTTCTCATGATTGACAGGAATTTACCTCAAAACATGTTCTCTATCATGAATATCATTCAGTTTACAGTGACATATGCTGGTTTTTTTACATCCGACATATGAGAGCTTACCTCTACAACTGAATCTTCGCCAACCAATATGCAGGAAAATACGTCAATAACTGGTTTCTCACAAATAACTGGTTTCCAACAAAATGGAGCTTATTGCCTTACATCGGTCTCTATCTTTTAATGTACAGGATATTTTTGGCTGAAAACGTACTTTTCAGCATGATAAGATGAACCCAAATGTAAAACGTTTGATGGACTTCTTTATTTTAGTCCCTTGTCGCTACGATGAAACACACGTAGACATACTAGTTCTATTATCTTATAGCCGAAACGGCTGAACACCTGACTTGTGATGCAGTAGGATTGGATTCAAGGTCCAAATATACTATATTTTTTTTCCGTTTCTGTTTCAAATGTAAAACTTATTTGTTGGAGTTTATTAATCAATAGAGGAATGGGGTTCAAACAAACTTTTACTGGGTCGTAGAACGGAAATTAATTTTGACATGATAGGTTTTTGGAATATCTGTAAGAATATGGATGAGAGCCGACACAATTCAAAAGCATCAGTACCACAAAGGCAATGATAAATTGATGAAAAGTATTTACCCACAAAATCCAGGTACCTCTTCACTCCATAAACGTAGGTAATTCCAAGGTACATTTCAATATATTTTGTATTCTGTGATGTTTTGCCGCCAAATCATTGCCATCTCCATAATATTTTTGTTTTAATTTCTATATAGAAAAGTAATGAACATAGAATATAGTGTTAATCAAAAAAGAAGTGATAAATATATTCAGGGTTAGGCAATTAATCTATACTTTTGTTCAAGTAACGATTTTTGTGTACCTTACTCAACGTTCGCAACAAATCCCACATCTTGTGCTATTTGTGAGATTGTAAGTGATTGTAAGTAATCCCAGTTCTTTATTTTCACCATTAACATTTGTCTGGTCTTTGTGCGGATCCAAGCAACAATAACATAAGAAAGGGGTTTCCTTCGTGTTTTGCCATGTATAGATATAAATTGAAATAGTAATTCCGTATATGGAATAATCTAAGCGTTCAACGAGTAGAATAAGTTGTATAAGATGTACTTTTAGGGCAATATGATGATCTCAGGAGTAAATTACATACCATGCCGGATCTGCAGGGTTCATTTTTATGCCCCCGTAATCGAAGATTCTTCGGTGTATAGTGTTTGCCCTCCATCAGTCTGTCTAGCTGTTTGTAAGAAAAACTTTAACCTTGCTAATTACGTTTGAGTGGGTTAGGTTATGGCTTTCATATTTCAAAGGCGTATTATCTGTGACAAGGCCTTTTGAATACCATCAAATTTGATCTTTCAACCTTGAATTTGGAGTTTGACCCACTTTTACAAAATAAAATTACTCCTTAGACTTGGTCATAATTTTTTAATGCTTGGTGATAGAACTTTCATACTTCACATCTGTCTTAATTGTGATCAGATCCTTTAGCAAGTACATGTATAATTTTTTTACCTTTATCTTAACGTTGACCCATTTTTTAAAAAAAAAGTTTAACCTTTGTCATAACATTTTAACTATTAGACGGAGAGCTTTCACATTTCTTGTGACAAGACCCTTCTTTTGGAACTAAGAATTTTGAGCTTGACCTTGACTTTTGCAGTTCGACATACATTTGATGAAAATTAATTCTTACATTGGTTGCTATATTTACGGTGGCATCAGTGTTTCACAAACATATCTTGTTTTCTTAATTTGTTTTCAGGCCTGTGGTTTTCTTAGATGAAAGCTGTGTACAGTTATTACACATTTTTCTCAATAATTTATGATTCAAATCATCAGCATAGGTACTTTTGTATTTTAAATAAAATCTTAAATTTGTTATTTTCAGAACAATCATAGATTTAAGTTAGAAGTTTGTTTTATGTTTGTATGTTGACTTTTTATTACACATTTGCAATTTTTTTTAGTTATGTTCGTCAAATAAATCTTCGTTACTATAAAATCTTTTTGTTCTGTCAATAACACTCTTCCCGGTTTTTTAAAATCTATTCAGGGAACGCCAGATGGCAATATGTACCGGACTTCCTGTCATTACATTTAATTCTTATCAATAAAAAAACAATTTTGAACTTAAATTCTGGATTACTGTATACAGGGAAATTTTCGCCCCCCTTTTATTTTCGACATTGTCACAAGTCGGCAAATTTAAAACGAAGCGAGTTCAAAGAACACAGTATCATTTCTTAAACAGAACTGTGACTGAACGAATTTAAAACGGGGCAAAATTGTAAGCAAATGTAAAACGGCGAAAATAACACGGAACGAAAATAAACCTGTATACAGTAGTTTATTCTAAACTTGTACCTGGAAGTATTTTTATTCCCAATAACCGAAATTTAATAGACACGTGATTTTTTCTGATATATTTGTTATTCTGTTTGTCTTCACAACCTTTCACATTTTCAAAACTTTTTATTGGTTTGAGTTTTGGTTTTCACAAAGTTCAACCTTCCAGTTCCAATAATTGCATCCCATTGTTGGACGCGGAGACCATTCCTTCGGATGAGACAGTATAGACCGAGGTCCCGCGTCGCAGTAGGTGTTGGCGCGAGAAAGATCCCTCCCAGCGCAATGGCCCTGAGTACCGAGTATAAGACAAAATTTGCATCTCTACACCGCCAAGTGGTGCCGTCTTCATCTCAGTGAAAAAGTTTCGAAAGTGACGTTAAACAACATACAATCAATCTACCTGCATTGATTCTCTTACTGTGTCAGGCAGCATTGCATGACTACACCAATTTAGAGCTTCACATTCCAAGAAGTGACGAAACCACAAACTGTTTCCAAACATTAAGAACTTAAATGTTGATTAAATGAAAAGTTATAATAACTATGAAAAATAATTTTCAACTTCATGTGTTAATTTCAACAATGTTGATAATATTTTAAACTCCTTGGTTCTTTATTTTCATATTTTTTTTTTCAAAACAAAAAAACGTGTTGAAAGTTGTTAAATTAACTTATTTTTTAAGAAACGCTGTATGCATTATAGAATCGTCGGGTATATATTTGTCATTGTTGCTGTAAATTGTTTATAGGTGTAAAGTGTAGTTATAAAAGACAGTTGTTTCAGCTATACAAAAGGTCAAATGTCATAGCACAAAGAGCTTCGTTTCTGAGCATCAAATCAATGGTCAAATCAGAGTTATACTGACCATTTGTCATTAACTACAAGTTGTGACAGAAAACTTTTTATGTCGGAAAGACAGTATATAAAGTACTTATTATACTGAAGGGTCGGACAAGGGTCATCAAATTTTTCTGTCAGTGATTAAGTGATACGGTATCATTGTACAATCACCTGTTGTGATCAGAACAAACCAGTGTTTGTTTTAAGTGCCCGCCACTTAAAAATCAAGTACCGAATTTCTTCTTGTAGATACAGTACTTAAAAATGTTACATAACATCACTCGACAAGCATCTGCATATTCAGCCATGTGTTATGAAAATGTAGGCTTAATTTCGTATATTTTTTTTTATAATTAGCTCAGATACGCATTATCTATCTTTTAGAAAGTCGTCTGAGCGTTCTAGAAAATACCACTCTTAATCTTAAATTCGGTCTCTCGGTTATTGTTAAATGCGGATTAAAACACTTAAACGGAAAGACACAATTACACATAATTGTGAATTTGTTTGTGATATGATCTTCTTTTGGTAAAAAAAAAAAAATAAGTAAACATCCGGTTAAAATTGGTAAACATCCAGTGGATATAAATTTCCCTTGCTATAACAGAAAGAAAAACACTGATAATTCATTGTAATCAATTTCCTAAAATATATCTAAAATTAGGTCAAAAGAGTAGACAAATGCTTTTTTATAACTGATTTCCAAATGATATAGCTTTTTATGAAGTGATGAATTCACCAGGTGCCAAAATGAATTGTAATGAGATATAAACCCCATATTTATGATAAGGGTATAATGCTATTTCCCCTAACAAACATGGTGTCGGTTTCGATTAGACATTTCCAATAATATTTCTGTTGTCACGAAAAAATAAATCCCTGAAGGGTTAATTATGCTTATGCACTTTACTTGCTACCCCCATCACGTATTACATATATCAGTAGCAGTCACGTTCTAGGAGTAAATCGATTATAATACAATATTAATTGAATAAAAGAAAATTACTTTACAAATCCTTCCACATTAAATTGAAATATGTTTATGACATTAATACCTTTGAAATCTAAAAGTGCTGGGAGCTTGCTTGATACATCGTCGGAAACCCTAATTCAGTGAATACTTTCTTTTAAACATTACAAAAGTATCAATTAAAACAAGCAAATTCAAAAATTGTATTTCCCCAATTTTCGGTGTATTTGTGGATGAGATGTTTTTTTATGACATATTATGCCAGATATGAACACCTTGCCATATGTCATTTAAAAATTATCACTGTAGTTGAATTAAAAAAAAATAAGGTCAATCGTGAAAGTCAAGGTCAAAAGTTATGGTCACTGATAAGTTTTTGAAGGTTAATCAGATTCCAAGGTCAAAGGGTAAAAAATATTGATTTCTTAAAAAAAAGTATTGCATATGTGAAGTATGAAAGCCCTAGCCCTGCCCCTAACCTTTCAACAGTTATGACAAAGTTTCTAAAAGTAGGTCTTTATATCCAATGAAAGGTCTTAACAAAATATATGAATAATGAAAGCCCTTGACCTAACACTTTAAAGTTATTGTCAATTCTTTTAAGTATATCAAACAACAACGTCAAGGTCAAATTCTCAAAGATCTTCGTATTCATTGAAAGGTCTTCTCACAAAAATTACATATGTGAAGTATGAAACCCCTAGCCCTGACCATTCAAAAGTAATGACCAAGTTCAAAGTTTTTTGAAAGTATCAAAATCGGTGATACCCAAAGAAAGGTCCTCTCCCAAGTAATACACATGTGCAATATGAAAGATATGAAAGTTATAGCTCCACTGAATCAAAAATTATGGGCAAAGTTAAAGTTTTTTTATGACGGATGGACAGCTAAACAGACTGACTGACAGATAAATTAGATTTATCGTCCCCTTGCTTTTGCAAAAGCTGTGGACAATGAGTGACATTAATAAATAATACAATACAAAGACTATTATTTATTGAAAGATTTTATCTGGTTTTATGAACTTATGCCAATACTTTTTAAGATTCTCTCGATCGTGCCTTATTGAAATACAATATGTCATGCCATTTGATTAAATATATACACGTATACTTAATTCTCTCTTGAAAATTTTATTGAAACGAACGAGCTATATATATCATATATATTCATTTGTTCTCAATTAAAAAGGAATAAACTCCTATTAAATTCGCAGTATAAGGGAGGCATTTAAATTACATCTATACGAAAGTTTTTGGAAAAAAACCTTTGGAACAAACATGAATCGTAGTTTTACTGTTTTGAAGAAATACCCAGAGAATATCATTAGAAATCTTATAGAACATGAAAGAGAGCTCGGGCACGGGATTCTGTTTAAAGACTGGTACGGGAAATCCTCACACTTCATTATGCTGACACCGTATCTCTGGCTACTTCCGCTAATCGTCACCATGATTGTCCTTGTTGTCTTCAAGAGAGCCAAGCTGTTCGGCTACACACAGAGGTATCTGGTGGCCATTATGCTGCTGGACCTTCTCATCACGCTTCTAAATGGAATTCGGGACGGCGCTCTGACATTTCTAGAAATGGATTACGGGTATATAGAATACAGAATCTGCCGGTTTG